GGGTTTCGAGCTCAGATTATGGTGTTTTTTGAGGTTATGGCGGAACCCCGACCCGATAGGGTTTAATGGACCTCGGATTCGGATTCAGCGACCCCAAAAACATATAATAAACATGGTGTGATCCCCAGGCCAAAGAAATTTTTTTTTTTTGTGTGGCTGTGTTATTATTGCTTTACCATGAGCCAGAACTCTGCTCATTTTTGGATACAAAAAGAATATCTCCTGATCACTATACAAAAGTATGGATAAATACACTTTTTGCTGGTGTTTGTTCTTTGCCAGCAGTTTGTAAAATGTGGGATCTATATTTTATGCAAACTGACCCGTTTTTTGGCTGTTTCTTTCTCTTATTATGATTATAAATGCCAGGTGTGTGAATGTTTATACAATTATTAGTTTGATATATTTATTGTTATTTTATATAAATTGATCTATCTTACAGGGACCAAATTTTAAATATAAAAGATGAAGACAAGCAAAGTATAATAGATACTATAACATCAATGCCTTGTGCTTTAGAAGCAGAAGACGTAACAGATTTTTGTTTTTTGGCACAGTACTATGCGATGAAAACACCAAGTTCTTTCAAACAAGATTTATCCTGTAATGTTTGGTGAATCTTCCGAAGAAAAGCTAATATCCCACGCGTTGTGGTTGTCTGTATTAGCGCACGAATTAGTAGAGAATTCTATCGAAGCTCCATCCGTATCTAATTGCACAGTCGAGACCGTTAAATTTTTTCTTGTTAATTGCAGACCTGCTGAACAATATAACGCAGGCCATCTACCACCAGCATTTCATCTTGATTGCAACTTGGTAAACGTTTTGTTATAAAACTAATAACAGATAGTGTGTGTAAACACATAAACAATAAGTTATCCAAAGAAGTAATAGCATGCCTTGTTCGTACAAGAACATACGTAAGATTAAGACACGTTAATAATCAAATAATAGAAAATAATATAAACAAAAAAAGAAAGAAAAAAATTTACCGCATGTGTAATTAAAAAAACTAAATAATATGTTACTTCTCTAATATTTAGAATAAATATTTATATATTTATATGTAATTAACTCATGTGTGTTTTCTAATGTTTCAAATAAAATATTTATATATTTATATATATTTGTATTAACTTTATTTTCTCTTTGTATATTATTATACCTAGTGTAATTTAGCATTACACTTTATAAATATATGATTTACAATATTTTTTGTTTTTTATTTTGACATCGAGAAGTAATTACTGCAACTCTATGTTTGAATATCGCGCACAATTTTGGCCAAAAATGTGATTGGCTGTCCCCACCACGTTGCCGTCTCTATGCGCAATAACTCACCTGTATACTTACACCATGGCTACAGCTATAGCTATAAGGGAAGAGAGCGGTTATATATATCCGTCTCCGTCTACTGCTCGAAGTTGGCCGAAGCGCCGAGCGCACACCGACACGGCTGTTCGCCTGTGTGCGTATCCTCTCACCTGCTGCTGCATGCTGCAAAAGTCTTAAAACTGGCATCTCTGCTCTCGAGTGTTTCATCAACCGTCGCGCAGATACGATGTCCTAAGACACAAACGACGCGAGTAACAAACGGTTGGGCACTCAACGGCGTAGTTAGACGTTAGTCAGTCGAGAAAGTGATCTACGAGCCTTCGCGATGAAATGGCGCGTTCCGCGTACGAGATCGTGAATTAACAAAGGTTCGTGCACTTGAGTCGTGCAATACGTAAACCACGCGTATTATTAAGTGCATATGTGTATTTATATTTAGTGGAACTTTATTATTTTACCTAAATATATATTTTATTCGTATATACTCGCTAATAAACTGTGAGTGTTACTTACCTGTCCTGGACGATCCTATCGTTGATCTGAAAAGAAAGGAATAGGGACTAAATCGGAAAGGAAGGATGGACGATGGTGCTCAGCCGTTCCAAAACAAGGCACCTGGCGACCGTGATACCTAAAAAAGTGAGTACTTATCATAAAAGTACTTAAGGGCCATAGCACATAACATGGCGTAATGTCTTACGACAGACGTAAGTCTTAGACGTAAGTTAACGCAAAAGCTTTGGCGTATGGCGTAGAATGATTGTAGTATGCTACATATCAAAAGTAAGTATAACCTCATCATAGATAAATAAGTTAAGACTAATCTTGTTTAATTACTTAATTAAGTAAGAGTAATAAAACTCGAAAGTACTATAAATAATAAAATTGTTATAAAATTTTTGTAGAACAACGATCTATTGTTATGCTTAGAAATAATGATATAAAACTTTAAGTTAAGTGCAATATTTCTTTGTTCTTGTTTACATAATAATGCTTAAAGAATCTTTTTTATTTGTTTATCTCATATTATTTTATAAATTTGTTCTATTTTAGTTTCCTATTAAAATAATTTATAGAAAATGTCATCAGATCATCAGAATTATTGTTCATCAAATGAGAATAATAGTTTATTTCAAAATATTGAAGATTTTTCTAATGATTCAGAAAATATTATTGTTGAAGAAAAAAGTGGTGATGAGTTTTTAATTGCGTTATATAGAGAACGACCATTTTTGTACGACAAAAAAATCCTAATTTTAAGGATACGTTAAGGAAACAAAATGCTTGGAACGAAATATCTAAAACAATGATTGAAACCAATTGTGGTAACTTTTTATAAAATTTTTTATTTCTACTGATTTGATTTATTTTGAATCATTACATGTTTTGTTAATTTATTGTTGAATTTTTATTACAGGTGAGTTTTACACATTAGATTATTGCCAAAAAAGATGTACTTCATTAAGAGAACAATACAATCGTGAAAAAAAACAAATTGAAAATCAGTTTAGAAGTGGAAGTGCTGCTCCAAATTCATCTTGTCGTCAATTTCCATTTTTTTCTCAAATGACATTTTTGGACAAGATTATTAAAAGACGAAGGTAGTTTTATGTCTGTAAACATATAAACGTGATAGTTTAGAAATATAATAAGATAAAGTTTTTTTTAATATACTTGTGTTTCAGTACTTATAGCAATGTAAAATCTCAATCAAATGCATCTATAGCTGAAAAGAATGTAACAGACACCAAAACATATGAGTCAAATAATATTTCTGCAAGTAATAAAGAAAATCAAAGTACAAGTTATAAGCATACTGTTAATGCTGAAAATTTTCATCAAGAAGTTTCAATACATTCTCTAAAGCTAAAAAGAGGAAAAATGAATGAAACTAAAGAATTAGAACAAACTTTCATTGATATGAGCAAAACAATTAAAAACTATATGGAAACTTCAAAATCATCTACAGCAGATAATGCATTTATGGAGTTCATAAAAATACAGTTTGACAGTGTTCCAGAACACGAGAAAAATATTAGAAGAAAACTGATTATAGATACTATATCTGCACCATTACCAAAAATGTAATTTTTTTTTATTTTACTCTGTTTAATATTTTACGATATGTTAATAATTATTTGAAGTTGTTTACGTTGTCAAGTATAATTTTATAATTTATTTAGTTCTGTGATAAACTAGTTATAAAGTGTTAACTAGTCATACAGGTGTAATTAATTTAAATTTTGTTATGATTATTATATTATTATAATCAGTTAAATGTAACTGGATAAACTTGATATTACTCGAAAAAGATTAAATGGGTTTTTTATTTCTTTTTATTATAATTCTCTTTATCTTAAGTGTTCTTTAATTATATTGAACATTATATCATTTATGTATACTAAGCAAATTAAAAATAAAACAACTTACATTTACAATAATAAGTTTTTATTTCACTCATTAAATCCAAAACATTAAACATGCAATATGTCACTCAAGATATTGAAAATATAAAAACTAAAAATCATTTATTTATAATTTAATTATAATTTATTTTATTATAATTTAATATAAGACACTTATTTAATAAATGTAAAAACTGGAACACTTATGGACTAAATATATCACCATTAATAGCTATTTATATATGCATTTATTTTATCCGTCTTTGTATATACCTCTACTGATAAAGTCATATTGCCATTTTACTTCTCCATCTAGAGAAACAAAATATTCACATAACGTATGTCTTTGAGCTTTTGCATCTTCGACATTATTACTACATTNTTCAACAGCATTTAATGACAACCATGTAGTCTACAATGTTCATTAATATCTATATTTTCAAAAACATGTAAAATATGTGTACATAGCAAAAATAGTAATTAAACATTTTCCCAGGTATTTAATTATAATTTTTTATCTGATTTATGTCACTTTCTGNAATTATTTCTTTGCTATAATATTTATATCCACTGCGTTGTTCTTCCTTTAATATATAATTGTGCAAACAAACTGAAGCTGTTACAACTATATTAGCAGTGTCTGGTAACATGCAAATGNCTGTGTGAAATATTCTCCATTTGTTAGCATAAATACCAAATGCACTTTCAACGGTTCTGCGTGCTCTAGAAAATCTGTAGTTACAAATTTTCTGTTTATCGCTCAAAGTTTTACCAGAATAAGGTTTCATTATTCTATTTGAGAGTGCAAAAGCATCATCCGCAATGAAAAATTCAAATGTCTTTAAATTGCCATTAGGAAGATTAACAGAGTTCTTTTTGACATATTTAACTTTTCCTTATCTAAAGTAATTCCTATTTGAGAATCGTAGAAAATTCCANCATCACTGTTTCCTATATATTAAATCACATAAAGTTTGCTTTTATTGTATTTTATTTANGAAAGATATAAAATATTTTTTAAAGATTTTTTAAAGATTTACCTCCATACGCTCCAATATCAACTAATGTGAATCTATATAAATGATCTGCCACTGCCATTAAAGCCTCTTGCACAATGGACGGAATAGCGATAGCGATAGAAATAACAAAAGTTTTAAAGAGTTTATATTTAAAAATAAAGGTAGGAACAGCGGAATCTAACATACAAAAATACACATGTATCAATG